AAACAGCGTTCCCACCCCGGACCGGGGCCGCGGGGTGGAAATGTCCATGATGGCGTAACGCTTCCAAGTCCGGAGCCGGTGGGTGGGTGAGTGTGTTTCGCAAGGCGATTTGTCCCGGACCCCCGTTCGATGTTACCGTGGGGTATTTCGTCGCTAGATCAGTTTCGCTAATGTTCTGGCCAGCATGGTGAGTATGAAGCGTGCACCAGACTACCATGCTAGAGTGGGAGAGCGGTATCGTGCATACAAGCGAGCTTCAAGTTGGCTGCCGATGTTTTCTGTTAGTTGAGAGTGTGTAGAGATAGGCCCCCTGGGTGTTAAAATCCTACCTTGATCAATGACCGGTTGAGCAACGAGATGTGCGTCCCAGAGGTGGCCTGGTTGACGGAGGCTATTTAGTATCTGCTGTTGCTTGGTTTGGGCGGAAGTTGTTCGAGGGACAGAATGAGACTGCCTAATGTCCCTATGTCTGCGTGGTTAAACTTCCTGTAAACTTTGTTGCCTTGGTTGATGACGATAATGTTGGATATAACAATAGAATAGACGAAGAAGACGACTTATTCACAACGCAAACCTTGGAAGCACAAGACGTTCAGTGTACTGGAAGACAGGAGTTCTGACAATGCTAGTCATCGGAGAGATTTCTATCTTATTTTACTTGCTAACTCGCTGATAATGCCATCATTTATGCGCTTGGTGCGGGCTTCTCTTCCGTTGATTCCGCCTCTGTGGGCTTCGTCTCCTCGGGCTTTGTCTGCTCTGTGACAGCTTCGGCCGGCTTCTCGACAGTAGTGCCAACCTCAGATGCCGAAGCACTCTTAACAGCCTCACCTTTTAGTCCTCCAACAACTCTCAGACCCTCAGCTCCCCGGGCGAGGTTGTCCAGCTCGCGCTTCCTCTGCAGGCGCTTCTGCACCTCGGGAACGAGCGCCGCCATGTCGACGAGCTCGCCATCCTTCTGGGGGTGGCCCTCAGGAAGACCCAACTCCTTGATCTTGACAACACCCTTCTGAACCTCCTCGTCTCCAAGGATGACGGCGAACGGCGTCGCGTTGGCCTCGGCGGCTTTGAACTGATTGGGCAACTTGGGCTTAACCTTGTAAAGGAACTCGGCCTTGATGCCAGCATCCCACAACTTGGAGCAAACTTCGAGGCGCTCCTTAATCAGACCGGCCTTGGAACCCAGAGACATGACGAAGACGTCCACGGTGCTTTGGGGGGCCTCGCTTTCGGCCTGCATGCGGGCCTTGGTAATGCTAAAGATTCTCTCGATGCCGAAGGAAACCTAAAACAATGTCAGTGGTCATGCAGTGTGCTTCTAGAACAAGACGTGCTTACTCCGACGCACGGAATCTGGGTCTTTCCAGAGAACATGCCCACGAGGTTGTCATAGCTGTCAAGCCGTTAGCTGCATGCTGCAAAACGCAAGGGAGAACCTTGAAAAACGTACCGACCGCCGGCAGCAACACTGCCAACACCGACGCTGGGATCATCTGAGCGATCTTCATCGTCCTTATCCTTGCTCTTGCTCTTCTTCTTGGGCTTGACTGTTGTGTCATCCGCGCCCGGCGTAGCGGCAGGGGCAGATCCTTCTGTGACGACCTCGTAGATAACACCCGTGTAGTAGTCAAGACCACGAGCCAGAGAGAGATCGAATGACACTCTGTCCAGAGCACCGAAAGCCTCGAGGTAGTTGAAGAGCATCTCCAAGTCGGACATGCCGGCCTTCATGGAGGCATTGGCAGACAGCTTGTCGTCGCGCTGCAGTTTCCTGAGCAGATCCTGCTTGCCCTTGAGGACAACCCACTCGCCAATCTTGTCGGCGACTTCTCCGTCAAGACCCTTCTCTTCAGTCATCTCCTTGCGCACATCCGCCCAAGGCAGCTTGTCGAGCTTGTCGACGGCGGAAGATATCGTTCTGATCTTGTCCTCGGGAACACCGCAGACCTCGAAAATACCGTCAAGAATCTTGCGGTGGTTGAGCTTGATGGTGTAGTTTCCGTTCCAGCCAAGGCCCTCAAAGACTTCGACGACAATGCGAATAATTTCGGCGTCGGGGAGCATCGAATCGTAGGTGCCAGCAATATCGAAATCGCACTGGTAGAATTCGCGCATGCGGCCCTTGTTCATGGCGGGTTGGTCACTGTTATGGATTAGCCTGTTGCTAATAGAACTGACCATAGCCTGGGTAGTTCGTACCGACGGTAGACCTTCGAGATGTGGTAGCGCTTGACGCTCTGAATGTCCTTGTTCATGGCGAGCCATCGTGCGAAGGGGACGGTCAAATCGTATCGCAGGGAGGTAATCTCGCCACCTTGATCGGCCAGGTCGTAGATGAGCTTCGAGTCTTCACCGTACTACTTTTGTTTAGTATCAAGATCGGCCCCGGGTGTTCGGAGGAAGTGGATCGCGGGGTTCGCATATACACTCCGTGGTGGGGGAGGGGAGTATGTGAAGGTTGGGTCGTACCTTGCCTGAAAGAATCTCCTTCAACTCGAAAACAGGGGTATCAAGCTCCATTCCACCGTGCTTCTGGAAGACATCCTTCAATTGCGAGAAGATCTTCTCGCGAATGATCATGTCCTTGCCGAACCCTTGAATCAACACAAAATATTAGTCCAGGTCGTACGATTGGCGGCGCAAAGGCGTCAGCGGTATCGACTAACAATCCTTGGTGCCCTTCGGGGTCTTGAGCTCAAACTTGGATTTGGGCGCCATGTCGGGCAATTGGTGGTCGTCGTTTTGGTAGACGGGGACGGACGAGGAAAAGTCGCGACGAATGGGGCGGCCCGCGGGCAAAAGAGGGGTTGAAAATGGACTTTTAGAAAGAAGAGTCAGTCGGCGAACCGGTCTGGCAGACCTCGAGAAAATTTGCAGCTGGATCTTCATTCACCTGGCTTTCTCGAGCGTTGCGCAAAAGGGGAACCGTCTTAAAGGGAAAGCGGCCCAGGGATCGTGTTGGTGACTCAATCGCAAGTTTTGGAGGGGCCGAATGACTTGCGACGAGTTTTGGGGGTTTGTGAGGTCAAAAATGCATGCAAGGCTGCAGTGGACTGGGATATGCCCACTTGTGGGTTGTCCAATGATGTGTCCTGCAAGTGATGGCAGATCCCTGTCAATCTGATAAGGCTGCAAGCAATCGGTCATTCTTCGGCAGGTGCCATGGTGGGGTGATTCTTCATCTGAACAAACCGCAGGAACTGTTCATCAAGTGCTGCGGTAAGGTACGTTTGGGACGGTGCGGAACTCCTGCTCTCATTCGTCGCAATGTTATTCTGAACTTGTACAATTGCTACTTTGTTCGTGGGGAAACGCATAGTTACGGCAATGAGACATCAATCAAACGGCAGGTTTGGTTTCCATCGACAGCGACGAGGTACGACGATATTCTTTTCGTAGATTATCGACTGAAGAAAGCTACAGCCGCATGCTGTAGTGGTTAAGGTTCAGCCCTGAACTCTCTAGTCCTCCAGTGAGTCCTACTAGGACTACTACAAGGGGTGGTGTCGGTACGAGTATTCGGGTGTGCCCACATTTGACCGTTTCTTGTCGGGATGAGTCGGTGTTCTTGAGCAGTCCGAACCCGACATAATAAGAACACCACGCGGTAAGATGGGGAACCGGACAGATTAAGCGGGGCCGCGTCTCGGTGTCTACCTATGGGGTTCGGGTTCAGGATGGCGCTCCCGAGCGGCTGGAATCGGAGTCGTTCAGTCGTCAACAATAAGACACATTTCATGCCAATACTGGACGCCCAGCAGGCAGATCAGGCAGCAGCAGTCAGATTCGTCACAGACCACGTGCAAGCTGATCCAAGATGATCGAGCACCGCCAGCGGCGGAGATGAGTCACTGAGGCACCAATTGTACGTGGTGTTATTCAATGACATGTGGCCACTTCAGCGTCCTTACATTGATTGCGGAAGAGGAACTGAGGTGCATGGCCATGGAGCATGGAGTGCGCACGGCCCGTAAAACTTCGAGCAACATGTTTTACGACGCTAAGGTGGATTTACGACGCTAAGCAGCTGCGAGACATGAGGCTTGTCTTCATCCCAGATAAACAAAGTAAACCTGCACCTGCCTGGAGCACTAGCGACATGTATTGTTGCAGTGAGATTCATCGCCGCTGGGAGTGGTGTGTTGGAAGCGCTGAACACAGGCTGAAATGACGCGGTTCAGGTTTGGTCGTAAGTCTGATTGCAGCCTCCAGACCTACTATTCGCATGATTGGTCTTGTAGATGCGAAGTCCGCAGGGCGTCTTCTTCATAGATCTGGAATCTGGTGAAGTCCGCTGCTCCGCTGCCCACGCCATGATGCAAAACTGGTGGGAGGCATGTAACGCTTCCATCCACGCGAGAAAGTCCCTACGTTGCGGAGGACGAAGGAGACTCCAATTAAACTCGGGCGAACCCCTAGCGCGAGGGCAGTCGGTGGCGTGTGCACCGCCCGTCCGTCCATTTGGGCCATTCCAGGACGGGTCAAATATGGGTCCGGCTGACTTCCAGGATCCCTCCACTACCGTTGGCCCCCGGCCGGCATCCCTACAGCGTTGCCATTTCAAGGCATCCTGATTGGCCTTAACCGCTTCGGGATGTTTTACGAGACGTGCAGTTTTACGAATTACGGCGGGAGACTGAGAATGAGAAGGAACGAATAATACTTGTAATGGACTCGTCGCCGCCAAGCCTGGCCGTCAAAAATCGAACATGAGTTCCGCGAAGTTGTGGTGTCATCTTTTCCCTACGACGTCTTGTTGTTTTTAATACTCCTCCCCTCGACCATCCTCGCATCCCAGGTCTCGGCTGGTTCTCCCTTTACGCTTTTTGACCCTACCAGCCGATTGCTTTACGCGTATAGCTCGCTTTCACCCAATCAGCGAATTCTTCTTTCCTTCACCTTTCAACCATTGGCACACCGATCCTGGTTCTTTCCCTCCACTGACTTCTTCATCGTCGAAGAACATGTCACTTTGAATTTACCGACGAAGTCAGGCTAGCATGGAAGCTATCAACAAGGATACCGCCCAGCCGGACGGCATTCCGCCCGTGGTGGCTGTCGTGGACGAAAAGAAGGATTTCGACCAATCTGCCAAAAGCAACGATGCAGAACCAACGCCCGAACAGAAGGTCAGACCTGAGAGAGAACCTACTTTCAAAGACTACGCCCGCGTCTTCACATACGCCACGAAATGGGACATCTTGGCGTACATCGTCGGCGGCCTAGCTTCCATCGCCGCCGGAATCACGCTGCCTCTGATGAATAGTAAGATGGGCTTTCACCAACATCCTTTCGTCCTGGTTTCTAATACAGCACACAGTCATCTTTGGACAGCTTGTAAATGACTTCAATGCATTTTCAGCAGAAAATGAGGCCGCACGCAACGACTTCAGGAAGACCGCAGACCGCCAGGCGCTGTACTTATTCATTCTCTTCCTCGCCCGTTTCGCTCTCAACTATACCAACAAGTTCGCCTTTCGAATGATAGGAATCCGGTTGTCGTCTGCCATCCGCCTCCACTACCTCCAACGACTCTTTGGCCAAACAATTCACGTCCTTGACTCAATGCCACCAGGCATGGCCTCGAGCACCATGTTAGTGAGCCCCAATTCCCTGGGTAGTTGGGTGCTGTACCTGGAAAAGAAGAGCCAAGCTAATATAACTTCCATAGCACGTCCACTGCAAACACTCTTCAGATTGGTATATCCGAAAAGCTTGGAGTCTTCCTCGAGTTCAACGGAACCATCATTGCCGCCATCGTCATCGCATTTACCTATAACTGGGCTTTGACCCTGGTCACCGCCTCATGCATTTTGTTCATTCTCGTTGTTCTGGCAGCCCTTCTGCCTTTCATCATCAAGGGTCACTCTGAAATGACCAAGGCAGAGGGCAAGGCGTCTGCTGTTGCCAGTGAGGCGTTTTCCAGTATCCGGATGGTAACTGCGTGCGGTGCGGAAGATCGTATTGCTGCCCGTTATGCAGTTTTCGTTGAGCAAGCGAAACGGAAGGGCCAATTCACAGCCCCTTTACTGGCCCTCCAGTTTGGGCTTATTGTGCGTCAATCTCTTGTGTACAAGTCGAACTGAATGCTGACTCTATGTAGTTCTTTGCATTGTTCTCCGCGTTTGGCCTTGCATTTTGGTACGGCACTCATTCTTGGGTTGACGGCCGAGTCGATGGAGTAGGCGAAGTCATCATGTAAGTGCAATGTTTCAGAAGACGGTCACTCGTCTCGTGCTAACCTTCGAGGTAGTGTTCTTATGTCCGTCATGCTTGTCGTCATGTCTCTCGAGCGAATCAGCACCCCGTTGCTTGCTATCGGCAAGGCAATGGTAGCTGCATGCGAGTTCCTCAGTGTCATCGATGCTCCAGCCCCCATCACGGGAGAATTGAAAGAACCTCAAGTTTCGGCCAACGATGATATCGTCTTCGAAGACGTCACCTTCGCGTACCCGAGCAGACCCCACGTCAAAGTTCTGGATGGTCTAAACCTGACAATCGAGTCCGGCAAGGTCACAGCTATTGTCGGACCCTCTGGCTCGGGCAAGAGCACCATCGTGGGCCTTATTGAGCGATGGTACACGTTGCAGGACCAATACGTCATCGCCAAAACAATCGAGAAGGACAAGAAGAAGGAGGCTGAGAAGAAAAAGAACAAGAAGAAGGGCAAGGAAGACTCGGACGATGAAGAGAACAAGCCCGAAGCGGAGGAGGCAGGTCCGCACGTTGAACTCGCCGGTTCAATCTCCACCTCCGGACACGCTCTTGACGATATCGATGTTAAGTGGTGGCGTTCGCAGATCGGCTTGGTCCAGCAGGAACCCTTTCTGTTCAACGACACCATTTTCAACAACGTCGCCTATGGATTAATTGGCTCTCAGTGGGAACACGAGACCGAGGAAAAGAAGCGAGAACTTGTCAAGGAAGCTTGCCAGGAGTCTTTTGCCGACGAATTCATTGACCGTCTGCCAGATGTGAGTGCTTCTTGTTATTCGAACTTTTTTCTCAGGCCCTCCATGCTAACTTCAATGCAGGGATACGACACCCAAGTCGGCGACAGTGGCGCAAAGTTGTCCGGCGGCCAGCGTCAGCGTATTGCCATTGCCCGAAGCATCGTCAGAAAACCGAAAATTGTTATTCTGGACGAAGCTACCAGCGCCATCGACGTCCGAAGCGAGAGAATCGTCCAAGCTGCCCTCAATAAGATATCCCAGAATCGTACGACCATCACAATTGCTCACCGTCTATCTACCATCAAGCAAGCCAATCGAATCGTGGTTCTCAAGAAAGGACAGGTTGTTGAACAAGGCACACACGAGAGTCTTTTGGAAAATGACGAAGGCGTATACTATGGTCTCGTGCATGCTCAGCAACTTTCGCTCGGCGATCAAACGGAAGACAGCGACTCGGACAACAAGGAAGAGGACTTGGGAGCAATCCTCGACCGCGAAAAGAGCGCTGCGCGATCCGAGGCAGACAGCACACGGCAGAAGACGCAGGCTGTCAACCGCAACCTGTTCCAGAGCTTTGGAAGACTGCTCTATGAGCAGAGAAGTCGTTGGCTCCTCTGCATTCTGACTGTGGTTTTCGCGGGTTGTGCTGCAGCTGGCACTCCGTTGCAGGCATGGCTTTTCGCCAAAGTCATCGTCGTCTTTAATCCGGATAACGGCCCTGACAAGATCCGCAGCGACAGCAACTTTTGGTCGCTCATGTGGGTTATTTTGGCGATCGGAGTTGGTCTGTCTTACTTCTTCATGGGCTTCGTCGCGACCCATTTGGCTCATTTCATCTGTGCCACATATCGGCAGCAGTATTTCGAGGCGATCCTGTTCCAACGGACATCTTTCTACGACGAAGAGGAGAACGCACACGGCAGCTTGACAGCTCGAGTCGCTGGGGATCCAAAGCAGCTCGAAGAGCTTTTGGGTCTCAACATGGCGATGGTATACGTTGCAATCTTGAACATAGTCGGAGCCATCAGCATTGCGTTTGCTTTTGGTTGGAAATTGGCCCTGGTGGCACTATGCGTTACCATGCCGATCGGATTAACTGGAGGCTACTTTCGATTCAAGTACGAGATTGAATTCGACAAGATGAACGCCGCTGTCTTCGCGGAGAGTTCCAAGTTTGCCTCGGAATCTATCGGGGCATTCAGGACTGTTTCTGCCCTGACTTTGGAGGGCGTCACATGTACTCGCTACGAGAAGCTCCTCAAGGATCATGTCAGCCACGCTTTCCGAAAAGCGAGGTGGACCAGTGCTGTCTTCGGCTTCTCGGATTCGATTTCGATGGCTTGCCAAGCTCTCATCTTCTGGTATGGCAGTCGCTTGTTGGCATCCGGCGAATACAGCCCACAGAACTTCTTCGTTTGCTTCATGGCTGTGATCCAAGGAGCTGAAGCTGCCGGCCAAGGTCTCAGCTTCGGACCCAACGCGGCGCAAGTCACTGGAGCATCCAACCGCATCATCAACATGCGTGACTCGAGGAACAAGGACATTATCCCAGTGACCGAGCAGATCCCGGACACGGAAGGCGGCGTCCGAATCGAGTTGCAGAATGTCCACTTCAAGTACCCGACGCGAAATGTGTCGGTTTTCAAGGGACTCAACTTGACTATTGAGAAGGGGCAGTTTGCTGCGCTTGTTGGTGCCTCTGGATGTGGCAAGACGAGCATCATCTCTCTTATGGAACGCTTCTACGACGTCGAAAAGGGCGCCATTCTGTGCAACGGCAAAGACATCAAGGATATCAATGTCTACGAGTACCGCAAGAACCTGTCGTTGGTAGCCCAGGAGCCGACACTTTTCCAAGGAACAATCAGAGAGAACATCCTGCTAGGCGTGGATGAGAACTCCGTCACCGATGAGCGTCTACACCAGGTCTGCCGCGATGCTTCAATCCACGAGTTCATCGTATCCCTCCCAGAGGGTTACAACACGAACATTGGCAGCAAGGGTGTTTCGCTCTCCGGTGGCCAAAAGCAACGTGTCGCCATTGCCCGTGCACTGATCAGGAACCCGAATATCCTCCTTCTCGATGAAGCAACCAGCTCTCTGGACTCCGAGAGCGAAAAGAGCGTCCAGGCTGCGTTTGAACGGGCTGGAAAAGGACGTACCATGGTCGTTGTCGCACATCGCCTGGCGACTGTTCAAAATGCGGACATCATCTTCGTGCTTGGCGAGGGAAGACTGCTGGAGAAGGGCAGCCATTCGGAGCTGTTGAAGAAGAAGGGTGTTTACTGGCACATGGTAAGTTTACTACTCTCGAATCATCCAGAGTTTGTACTGACAAAATGCGTAGTGTCACAGCCAAGCGCTCGATCGCTAGAGTTGCGAAGTTGTTCACTCGGCGGATGAATATTAGGCGTTTGCGTGTTTGAGTATTTGATGTCAGGACAGAATACCCCTCGCTTCTCATGTAGACACTCTTTGTACTTTTCAAAAACCTCACGCATTAGATCAAGATCATCAAATAATATGCGGCAGAGTCGTATTGAAGCAGACTGCCACTAATACTGTTACTAATTCTGATTCGGAAATAACACCTGTCGATTGACGCCGCTTGAAGTAAATGCAACGTCAACGAATCCGCAGCCAAACAGCCGCCACCAAAATGCATCCCGTGTCTATCGTGTGCTCCATGCCTCTAGTTGGGTATCGTTAACTCTACGCCTGCAGCTTCATACCCCAGAACTCATCCAGCTCGCGCATGATGCAATCCTTCTTGGTCATAACAAAATCGTGCCCGCCAGGGAGGACCCTCCAGTGCACATTCTCCTCGCCGCCCAGCAGCGGCAGCCCGTCCTCGGCGTAATGCTCCGCGAAGATGACCTCGTCCGCCCGGCCGATCAAGACGGCCGTGGTGCCCTTCTTCCTCCTCCCCAGGGCGCGCCACGTGTCGTGCAGATCCGTCAGGATGCCGTGCTTGACGCAGCTCATGAACGCGGGGACCATGCCGCGGTGGTTCACGACCATCCAGGAGATGTACTGGCGCACGACCTGGTCGACGGGGAGGTCGCCGCCGTCAGGAGAGGACGCCTCGGCGGCGGCGATGTCGACAAGCTTCTCTGCCGGGTCGTCCTCGTCCTCAACAACGTTGGACCGCTTCGGCGCCAGGGGCTTCTTCAGCCTGCTCTCCGTGATGGAGGCGAGGATCCGGTCGGGGATGATGCCCGACTGGAACGTGAGCCGCGCCAGGTGTCCGAAGTTGGCCGCGCGGATGATGCCTGCGGGCGCGAGCAGGACGAGGCTCTGGACCATGTCGGGGAAGGCGGCGGCGAAGGCTGCGGCGACGGCGCCGCCGAGGGAGTAGCCGATGACCCTGATGGAGTTCTGGCCGGACCAGGCCAGTGGGGAGGAGGCGAGGGCGAGGAGGACCTGGGTGGTGTACAGCCGGGTGTCGTGGGGGAGGTCCCCGACGCCGTCAGAGAAGCCGCGGCCGAAGAGGTCGAAGAGCATGACGCGGCAGCCGCGGGCGACGAGGGCGTGGGCGATGAGGCCAAGGGTCATGCAGGATGTGCTGATGCCGTGGATGAGGATGACCTTGGGTCCGGTGGTTGAGCCCCATTCGTACACACGCATGCAACCGTACTTGAGGGTTCGTTAGTCTGCTTATCATCGCGGAGATATCGCAGAGAAACATACCGGCGTCTCCACGTCGCGGGCACCCGGGAAGTGGTCGGGGCGATAGTGAAGTCTCTTGATCTCCTCGCTCGTGAGCTCGGGGATCTTGGTCTTGAGAGGGCTGGGAATCGAGGAGCTCCATTTCACGTACAAGCCCAGGCGAGCGAGGGAGAGGAGGGAGATGGTCGCGACGACCGTCGTGGCGACGACGGCCACCGTGCGAGGCTCGACGGGCGAGCTGAGGAGGATGCGATCCATGGTGGTCGTGTTTTCTCTCCTTCTTCTTGGCAGCAGTTCTTGTTGATGAAGAGGCGAGATATGTTCACGACCTGATCGAGCTGCTCCGGATGACTCGGGCCGGGACGGGGGAAAGTGGGACGTGAAGGTCGAAGGCTCGGAGGCAGTTTGCACCCTTATCGCGACCCTCGCAAATTTCCTCCCTTGGGTCGTGAATCGTTACACACGCGCAGCGCAAGGCAGCGTACGCAGCACATTCAGGTGTAATCTGCCAAGCCGGTGAATGCAAACGCTGCGAAACCACCGGATGACGTTCTCCTCGGAGCGGCGTTGGTTCGCGTCCAACGACGGCATCAGCGGGCCTCTGGGTGGTGCGGCCGCCCAATGGAGGAGCTGGACATCTTGGAGGGTCCCTTCACTTCAGGGAGGCACCGAAATCCCTATCAGATGCCCCACGTGGCGGCGACTGGTGGATCGGCCTCTCCCGATGTCAAAAGTGGAGCACACTGCAGGATAAATACCGGGTGACAGGTAACGAACCGGTTCGGCAGGAACTGCCTGCCTTTGGGACGAACTTTTGTCTGTTTAAACTTCCAAGTATCCGGCCCCCAGGCTGCAACCTCAGATCGCGATGGCTTCACTTTTTGATTTTGAGAAGGGCTTGCCCGGTTTGATCTGCCCGCTTCCTTGCGCATTCCCCCGGCCGGTCGATGTCGCGTTTCGCCGGATCAAACATGGGCATTTCTGAAAAGAACATGAGACGCTTGCGCATTTTTGTTGGAGACTGGCCATGTCAGCAGTAAATCACAACGCACGCCTGTTCACAATGCAATGGATAGAGTGGCCGGATTTCCCGGAAACCACGGAAAATTCATCGCCGAGTACGTCGGATGTCACGGCTCTCTTAGCCTTTGACAACCCTAACCCTGAGCAATTGATGTAAGTCAGCGTCCGGACTGCCCGTGATTACTTTGCTGGATCCTCCCACCGGCATGAGCGACGCAGTGTGGTCTCAAGTTTCGTTCCTTGGTCTCAGCAGCATCGGAACAGCTCCCGACTACAACCTTTCTGAATCTCGGGGCATGCTCCGCGTTCCAAGGCACGATGCATCTGCGCGGGCGTACGGCTGCCACCGTTGCAGTGGACACCTTTGATATCATGGTGTTAGGATATGTCCCCTTGGCGATGGCGCTAAAAGTCCTATCCCTTTCACTTTCCTGGTTCCCTGACCATCATGTGAAAGAAACTGGGCGAGGCGAAGCACACGTGCAGCCCCGAAATTTGGACAATGGGTCCGATTCAGTCGAGACGACATAGGGTCTTGGCTCTGAATCAGTTGTAGTAGCCAGTCGTCTGTAGATTTTTTAGCACCCGGCTCCCACTCACTGACGCCACAAAGTTTGGGGGCGCCTTGGGTGATCCGGAAAAATAAAACTCACATAGATTATCCCGGCGCGAATCATGACACGCGACCCAAGAACAACGGCGATCTTCCAGAACTCCATGGATTTTTTTTCACGTCCTTGCGTCAGAGGTCTCAGGGGGTCCGGACAAGACGAACACATGCTGCATGAACAAAGATGATCAGCGCACATTTCCTACTTTCCAAGGCCGGAAGGACGACACCCGACCCGATCCCCCTATTCCTCTTTCCCACAGATCGCAGTCGGTCATCTGCGGGCATCAGACCTGTACTGCGGGCTGTAGATTTTTTTCTTTCTGAATCTGCCATGATTGGAAAGTTTCTCCCGCGAAGAAAAAAACTGGTTAGGAAAGTCTACGGTGGCCTTGGCAGTGGACACAATCTATGCGGACTTAATCATGTCCGCGGCCACCAATAGAGCATCGCGCGCGCGCGCAAGGACCGGCGGTAGATGGAATAAAGAATTGGCATCTGACATCACACACAGAGACAGAGCTGCAACCCCTTTTTCCTAGTTGTCGTTAAGCTCACAACCCTTTTCTAGAAACGGGAGGGGAGGAGAGGGTAGGGAATAGAGCTTACAGCTTAAAGACGGCCTATGATGCAATTTGAAACCCAGCTTCGGTTCGAGATGCCCTCTCAGCGCGCTTTTCTTGCCAAGCCGGAGAAATAGCTAGACTAGCGAAGGAGACCATATTGCGGTGTTTAAAAACAACAGCAAGAGTACAGCGTAGTAGTGTAAAACCAGCTACTAAAACCAGCTACAGGCATTGACCGCTTCGGTTTCGGGTTCTCTCCTCGTCGCGGCGGCCGTTGGGGGTTCGTCTGAGTGCAACTCCTGCCGCGCCGCGCCGGGGGGTTTTTAGAACAAAAAAAACTCAAAACTCAATTGCAAAACCTCTGGTCACCCAATGAGCATACAATCGCAGAGAGAGTTGAGAGAAATCCCCAATCTTCTTCCCCATTCTTCCCGACCCGATCCGATCCGATGGATGGGTTAACCCCCTCGGTCTCTGTCTCTCTCTCTGTGTGTCTCTGTCTCTGTGTCTCTACCTCTCTCGCTGTTTCATCAACCCGACAACGCCTAACTAATAGCACACATCCGATAAGAGCTATGATCCCGGGGAGGGGGGGAATATGACTCGCGGCATATGGGCAGCAACGAGCTGGGATCTCCTTTTTTTACGTAGGAGCACACGTGTTGGCAGGCGCGTTTTTTTTACTTAGTACAACACACACAGACACACATACCACCCACACCGTTAAGAGCCCTATAGGGCGAGTTGTTAGGGGAGGCGGTGCAAACAAGTTGCCCATCATAATGGAGCGTGTGGTTGTCTAAAGCCTGCCTTACTGCATTCTCTGTGCTGAGTATACGAGTGCCTTTACGCAGCGAACAAACAGGCAGGCCCCCTAAGCGGAGCAGTCCGCGTAGGCCCCTGCAGTACAGAGTTGGAAAGTCTGCCTTCGCTAACGTCGATGAACGGGGTCTTCCGTCTGAATCCATTCATATAGTTGGGATGCCCTTGGACTTCATATGCAGGTCTTTCGTGGGGCTAGTCCGAGCAGTTTCAAGGCCAACCAGACGAGTTCGGAGGGTCCGATTGACTTCTGCCTCATGCGGGTGCAGGTGCAGTATTGCGAGGTTTTTTTTGGTCTTTGGTAGGGGGCGAAAAGGCCCGTCTGAGCACTAAGCATAATGTTCAGAAGAAACTGAAAGTTGATGAAAGGGTTGAAACAACGTCACACATGTCAAAAGGGGGACCCTCCAATAGGAGCAGAGTATTCGGTCATGAAGTCGTCAATTGAGACTGATGCAACTCGATGGGTGAGCTTCTCATCACGAAGCACATAACCCTATCCAAATACGCCAAAGGATTGCTTTTTGGTACATGGGTATCCATCCATCCGCCCGCCCGCTCTAGACTCCGCCAATTGATGTAAACAGGAACAAGGTAAAAAGACAATAAGAAGTAGTTATGATATTCGTAAACAAGCAAGATGTCATGACATGCCAACAGCCCAAGCAGCGTGTCCCAGCTGCTTGATCAGAAGACAAAGATTCTCAACAATCGGCGGATGTGTGTCCGTCGAGTCTCTGAAGTTGGCCCGGAGGATCTCCTGGGCAATTTCCATGCAGGCCTTGGGGTCGTCGACCGAAGCCTCGGTTGCGCCCGCTCTGCTCATGGGTCCTAAAATTACTGGACGACCTTGGCTGAAGCCGATAAAGCGGTGTACAACGGTCGACTCTGTGCCGTCTAGGAAGACGTTCTCCTGTTCGTATCCGGTCTGTGGCGTCGGCTTGTTGCCCACCGCCTTGGTCACAACTCCGTACGTCCAAATCGCCAGAGACGCGTGGTGTACGGCTACAGCGTAAAAGTCCTTCAGATGGCCTGGAGGGAACATCTTGGCTTGGCGCAAGATCTGGCCGGCGTGCCACAGAGACTGGCGAGCTTCGGCGCTTTGCGACCACTCACGTAGGTCGCCAAAAACGCGACGAGCCTGGTCCTCGCCTTCCTTGCCCGAGAACAGCTGCAAGTCGTTCAGTGACAAGTGCAGATTCATCATCAGGAGGTGCAAAACCAAGCTCTCCTGTGTTGAAAGCATCTCGTGCCAGTCCGTGCTGACATGCAGGAAGCCCTGCAGGTCCTTGCAGAGCTCGGCATGTCTCGAGCGCAGCACCTCCTCCGAATGGCCCCCAGTGTTGTTCAGCCAAGTCCGGGTACGCAAGACGGAACAAAGCTGGAGGTACTCGAGAATAAGTGCCCAATAGCCATGCAGGTAAATGGAGATTGCAAATTGCAAATCAAGGCGTTGGCGGTTGGTCGCCAGGAGGTTGATATCCCGGAATAGGTCGCCGATCGATGGGGGCCGTTTGCTTTGCCCGGCAGTTTTTTCCAAGTAATGCATCTTCCATTCCGCTGCCGTTTTCGCAAACCACATCTCCTTGGCCTCCGGGAGGGGAAGAGTGAGCTCCGAGTACGACATCGACGGGTTGGTGAGGGTTGTCATGGAGGTCTGAGCGTCTCGCACAAAGCAGTGGAAAAGTAGTCTAAATATGTTAGTGCAAGGGTATCCCAGGTTGGAAACCAGCATGCTTACCTCTTCCACGACTCACGCTCGCACCAGGCCCGCCATTTCCTCTCCAAAACCTCGCCTTCATCGGACATATTGACTTCGACAAGGGGGTACGATGCTCGTTGGAACTTGCCCCGATACCTCATCATCTGTTGGCCCATTAGCAACCTTATCCTGGACGGAGAAGCCGAGAACATTGCTTACAGTGATTGGGATCATGAGGTGACACTCGGCGATCTCCATCTTGCGTCGGTTGCCACTCCAGAGACCAATGTCCTGGCCCAAGATCAACGTCTGGACCAGACCCAGGTTCTTGATCGTGGTGTTGGCATCCTCGAACCTTGCCGGAATGGTGACACGGACCGCCTCCTGGAGAGCGAACCCAAACTTGCGCAAGGTTTGCACGGGAGTAAGAGTAGCTCCAGCTGAAGCTGCGACCGCAAGCCACTCCGGCCATTGTGCGTTCATGGAAAACGAGCCGTGGTGAATCCATTGAGACGTTTGACAAAAGTGCGAAGCCAGGTAGATGTGAATCAGGCTGTCCATGACCTCGAGCGACGGGAACGAGGACGCGACTCGCGTCATGATCGCGTCGTTCTTGCAAGTCTGCAGGACGATGGCCAAGATCTGATCCCGGCCAGATTGGTCAAGCTTGTCCTTGACGATCCTCGGGTGCTTGCTGCGGCTCTGCTGGAAGGCTGCGCTGGTGGTGTCGCCCGACGGTACGGAAAAGTTGCCATGCTCGACATATCCAGAGTCCTTGTTGTTTGGCGCCCACTGCCACGGAGAGTCGGTCCAGACCTTGACGAGTGTTTGTCGCATCTGAACCAGGTCGACGGAGTCGTCGGTGCGCGGCGTAAAGCTCTGATTCGAGCCAGGGTTCATGTGATCCATGTTCCAGTGATCGAGGAGTCCAAAGTCCACCTCGTTCAGCTCCAGGTTCGAGTTGTCGCAAAAGTCAAGGACGGCGAGACCTTGCGCTTCGGCCATTCTCGAGGCTTCCATGCCCGGCTCGTAAATGACGTTCTGCAGAAAATCGGAAAAGGGCATAGCCATATCGACACCTTGTGCGCCGATCTCGTAATTGACGGGCATAGCATTCGGCATAGGTTCCATGCCGTTATCCGGGGTCGGCAATTGACCGCCTTCTGCCTTGATGTGCTGCCCCGAGGCAATTTGGCCGTTCATGTTCATTGGTAGACCGGCATGGTGCTGGGGAGGCTGCTGGTACGCGGCGGAGGGGCTGCTGTCGTATGCGGACTGGGACGGAGACGTGGCTAGCGAGCCAGGGGTGGAGGTTGTGGTGTTGTTGGGGTTTCCGGACAGGTGGAGGAGGTGCATGGCGGCTGCAGAGCCTGCTTCGGTTGAGGAGTACTCGCAGTTGAGGTTGCGATTGCGACAGCGGGTGCAAGGCTTCACCTCTTCGCACTTGACACGAGCGGTAGCGCAAGGCCGGCAGGCGTGGGATACGCGACCAGCACCAGGCGAGGTGTCGGTCCGGCGTCTCTTCTTGTTGGGGTCATTGTCGTTCTCGTGGTTAGTGACATGGCGCTTCAGAAGATCCTGGCGGGCGAATGCTTTGCCGCATATTTGACAGGCGAAACGCTTGCCGAGAGTGTGAGTCTGGATATGTCTGGCGAGATGCTCGGGGCGAGAATACCGTCGCTGGCAATGGGCACACTGATAAAGGCTGGCTGTCGCTGCGTGGCTCTGGTTGGCTGGGGCGGAAGTGGGATACGGAGGCTGCTGCTGCTGGTTTTGTTGGGCGGCCGGTCCAGGTGACGGCGAGACAGACTGTGAGGGAGCATTCGGATTTGGGGCGAAAGTTGGAGCTGAGACAACAATGGTAGCCGACGGTGATGGCCCCGAGGCCAACGGGAGATTGTTGGAGGAATTCATTCGGGGAATCAGCAACGCAAACTCGTTGCTCGTCGGTACCGGGAGGTCGGCTCTGCAGTTCGAGGGCACACCAGCAGCGGTAGCGGTGGTGGTGGTGGTGGTCTAGCAGAGGAAGATATTAAGGTAGTGACGTCGGAGCGGGTCCGGCTATTGGCCGCAATGTTGGCCAACGGCGCCGGACGGAGCGGGAGCGGTAAGAATACGCGGTTCGGGGGGGATGAGGACGGGAGTTGGGTGGCTGCCGTACGGGCGGAAGAGTCGGCAGCGAGATGACAAAGGGGGAAAAACAAAGTATTGCGGGAGCAGGAGAAAAAGTTCTGCTACCTGGCCTCAGGATGGACAGATCCAGATCCGATGTGGGAGGAAGTCGGGAGAGGAGATGGGAGGAAAATGAGAGAGAGCCCAGGGTAGCGAGCGCAGTGCAGTGCAGTGCAGTGCAAAGACAGCCCAGTACCGGTAGGTGCACAACAGCAGCGGCGCGAATCGGGCGGGCTGCAGCCAAGAACTGCAAGGCCAGAAGAGGACCTGATGTTCGGGGCGTGTGCGGTATGTGTGTAAGATAGCTGGTAGTCGGAGGCACCTTAAGGTAAAAGGTACGGGTGGGCTTGATCCCTTCTTTAGCTTAGGTTAGTTCAGCTACGTCTTTGGGCTAGTTGGTGGCTGCCAGTCTGATCTGGTCTGGGGAGGAGCTGTATGTGTATTGGACGGAGACCTTAAAGGCAAAGGTATGCCCGGGCAAGGTATGGCAAGGCAAGGCAGGTAGGTAGGGGGAGGTAGGGGAGGTGTTGTACCTTTAGGTAAGGCGTGGAAAGATATAGCGAGGCAAGGTGAGAGGCAAAAGTAACCGACCCTCGACTGGACAGGACCGGACTCGACTCGTGGCTCTCTGGCTCTCAGACTGGAACTGAAGACTGAGAGTTAAGGTATGTCAAAGACAGGTAAGGTATGTAAGGCAAGGTAATGTAATGTAAGGCAGATAGAGATGTAAGGTAGGTAGGTACCGTACCTTAAAGGTATGGGGAGCGTAGGGGAGGGACCGGGAAGAAAGAGAGGAACAATTAGGCGGGAAACCTTTCTCTAAAAAAAACAGGATACGTACTTTGAGATTGGGACTTGGGAAAATGCCCTGGGGGTGTGAAGATGGAGATGCAAGTGCGGACACTCAACGAGGCGCATGAGCAACGCAGACGTGGGTTTGACGGCGGCACTGGCACTATGCGAGGGTCCAAGGTCCCAGGTAAGGCAAGTTGCCAGACGAGAGAAAAGTAGCTGCGGCTCGAAGCGGGACCAGAAAAGGCAAAAAGGCCATAGAAACAAAACAGAGAGCAACTTGGAAACCTGGAGAGGGTGGTGAGGTGCCGCGTCAGGCAAATCACGGTACTCTGGGTATTATTCTCAGCGCCACATCAAAGTACGTCGACCGCCGGTGGTGAGTATATTGCCATGACGGCCAAACAGCGTCTTTCTGCGAGGGCCGCCCCTACATGCGCTACTAAGCCGCCCGGCGCACGGCGCAAGAGAGACCACAGGACAGCGATCGGGGGTGGCCTCGTCATCCTCTGCCCGGCGCTGCTCCTCAAAAGGGTAAGGCTCAAGCTGCCAGAGCTTCGAAACCCAAAACTCGGTCGTTGGTTGCATTTGGTGGAACGACCAGGTCTGGAGTTATGCAGGGCGACTGGAGAATGGGACCCAGATCCCGGCGAGGCGTCGCAAGGATCCTTCAACGGCCGAGCACTGAGACGACGTCGACGTCGCGGCTTTTCCGCATCGCATCGTTGGACTGGCTGGCTGCTGTTTCTTGTGTGTCTTCTTTCTTCATCTTCATCTTGATTTGCACGCGCACGCGCACGGTCACGATCCGATGAATCTGTCCTTGCCCCCCCCNTGCTCTTCCGATCCCCCGGTGCCAGTGAACTTCAGCCCGTCGGTCAATAGGCAGGGTCCAGCATATATGGACAGCGTGTGTACGTGCCTGGACCTGAACTTCAGCACACCACCTGTCGATCTTGACGCACTTGTGAGGCTGAAAGGGCCGACGACAATCCTCGTCATCATCACCATCACCATCAGACGACCCGGCAGCTCGTAGCGCAGCTCGCTTGATGACAGCTCAGGACAGGACCCGAGGCAGGTCCCCCGAAGCTCAAGGCTCGACGCTCGATCGCCATGTCGACAAGAGTCCGGACAGGTCAGGAATCCGAAGTGTTAATCGCTGCCCGTGTGGAGGACGAATGCATGCACCTCACTCAGTATCCATCCATATTGGAGCAAATCGGATAATCTGCAAATCGCCCGAAGCGGCAGGCACCCTTGACTCTTCAACCTTGACCACTATCCGTAGACCTCCGTAGACCAGCCATGTCCCATGGAAGGCGTGGAGGCCGGCCGCTTAGTGATGCCCGCCCCGTGGACGAAACCTGAAGGTCCCTCCAATGGTGTTTGAGCGGCTGTAGCCAAGTCGAGCCAGTCTTGGGGCCGCTGCCGCCGGTTGTCAACTCTAACCCATCTCAAGGTCCATGGTCGATGCGATGGTCTGTCTCTTGTTGCTGGAATGCCAGGAAGTCTCAGGCAAAGTGCTGTCATCTCGTCAAAGGACCCTGCCTGCCGCATGTTTGCTCGGCTACACGTGTGAGGTTCCTAAGGTAGTGATCACTGAGAATTGAGCACTGCGGCAAAAGTCAATTGAATCGACATGCTTGACTCGTGGCCCCTCGTGGACGCGCGCCAACACAGCAAGCCACGGCGCCAATTGCCTTGTGTCTGATTCACCGCCGCACTTTGACGGGCGGAACGGGGTCCTCGACACTTGCGAAGGCATCTTGACCCAGACAAACAAAATTGAGTGTGGATGTTCAGAATCGAGTAGCGGAAAGGTCCTCTCCGCCGGCCGGCGACGGAGGAGGAGCCTGAGAAGAAACAGTCTGGTGATCCTGGAAGGTGAGCAAGCGCAGTGCAGCGACTGGAATCGTGTAGCGCACAAAGTACGCTACTGCAAGCCAACGGGGAACATGGCTAGTGATGATCCAGGGTCCCTCGTAGCGTCCCCCGGCAAATCCCCACGCGCAAGGCGCTCGAAAGTCGGACGGCGAGCAAGAGGCATTGGGTATTGTGAGCAGGTGAGCCTCGTGGTGGACGTCAGGGTGGACATCAGGCAAGCGACGTCCATTTGGAAGGTGTCAAGGTGTCAAGGTATCCCCCGTGAGGACGTGTTTGATGGGGAAAGAAACACACGCGTTGCAGCGTTATCAGAAATGGATGTGAACAAGGCCAGCCAGTGCCAGCATCCATCCATCCATTCAGTCCATCAGACCCAGAGAAAAAGGGAAAAGAGCGTTACGTAGGCTCTAATATCCGTGCCATCCCAGGGCCTGGCCGGAAATCCCGAAGAGGAATGGTGCGATGGGACCCTCCGATGGCTGACCCACATGGGGCCTGGTGTGATGTGTGATTAGCTACCACCCGCGGTACAGAGGTACATCACTTTTAGTAGACCTACGGTACTAAGCCGCTATTGATAGGACGTCGTCCACTAAATTTCTGATGATGGAACCCTTCTCTAGGAGACTTACGCAGCGCGTCTTCAAGGCGCGGTACCTGCCGTCAAGGTGCTTTCCCGCACGTGGAGTAGCGCGGCGGTACTTCCGCTCCCTACTGGCCGCAGGTACCTTTTCTTCCTGCCTTAGTGTGAGCTTCTCACGCAGCGTGAGCTTGGCGCCCCGCCTTCATCTTTCACCCTGCATCTATCAGATTGCTGCATCTCTGATTCCACGTCGTCTCCTCCACCAACACCCGCACCGCGGCGGAATCCTCACAACGAAACCCAAGTCCCTCCCTCGGCTCTCAACTGCCATTGGCGCGCCGCCGCGCCAGACCAGACAACCTCAAGTCGGGAACTTCAGATGACAGGCGGGCGGCATTTGCTGCTCTGCTCTGCTCTGCGGCCTCTGCTTGGCTGGTCGCAGATGACGAAAGCGGCCACCCCCCGTTTTAGTTTCGTCAAACCCATCCCGGCAACCCTAATCTTTCCACCGGCCATGGAGCCGTGGCACGAAGCTTGAATTCTGCCTTACCTGACGGGGCCATCGGCCACATCTGGGGCAAGCTGAACGAGAGCAGACGCGTCCTCTCTTCAGAATCGCTCCATTCGATATAGCACCATGACGAGTCTACTTTGTTTCGAGACGCCGGCGTCCATAACCGAGCATCGAAATTTAGAAACAGAAACCTCGCATGCCCACTCAATCAACCTTGAATGATGAAGCTTCTTCTCTACCCGCTGCACCAGAGATTCGGGAAACGTCACTTGAAACACTCCTTGCTCTCAGCTCCGCGGAGGGCCACGACTGAGAACGACACCACTCGAGACCGTTCATCAACATCCCCGGACCACTCTCGGGGCTCGAATTCCGTTCCTGGTCTGTTGTCCAATATGTCGACACATGTCAGATTCCTTCTGAATGGATGGCATGAACGGCCAGGACGGGAGGTTGGCCTCGTCTGCGCGTCTTATTCAGGTCTCGCCCTCGGCCCACAGGGGACGAGATAACGGCGCTGCATGTCGTCGACGCGGTGCATATCTCAGGGACGGCGGTCTCCNCCCACAGGTGACGAGATAACGGCGCTGCATGTCGTCGACGCGGTGCATATCTCAGGGACGGAGGTCTCCGCGGCATCATGCATGGCCAAATGCACGTAGGCCGCGCTACCTACGTACTTACCGCAGTAGTACTCCGTACTCTTCTGCACTGCAACTTGGGACGAAAGCCAAGCTGCAGTCATCCGTTCCACCTTCTCCAACAGTCAGGAACCACCCGGCGGCCCTGGAAGCGGCCTCCAATGCTCTCGTCTCCGCTGGCGCTGCTGGGTGAGAAACCATGATCAGGATCAGCATTCGTCCCATCTCTGTTTGTGTGGACTATTGACCTTCTCTAGTCTGCTAGTGTGTGTCCACGGCAACATGCATGCCATACCCCTTCAACCTCAGAACTCACAACCATGCGTGGAGAGCGCGTTGCGCGTCTCCTTAGGCGAGACATGCCGGGGTTACTCTGGCTAGGCGCAGTGCTGCCAAATTTTTGCTTTTCCTACCCCATATTGAGCACCAGCCACACTTTGCTGCTGCGCACACACAACGCGGTGCTCCCTATGTACAGCCTTTTCTGTCACATTGCCGCCAGGCCACAAGTCGACCGGAGGACATGGCCGAAAACGGCACCTTGTGTCCTGTGCGTGGTTCATGCACCACCGAGTTCTCCTCTCTTTGAGGCTCTTGCAGCAAGGCTTGGACCTGTTCAAAGTCCGATATCTTACGCGTGCAATCGTGGCGGCGGGGCCTGTTCGGGGGGGCACGAGGGAGTCCCCATCTTGAATCATCGATCCTCGGCTAGCAAGCCGCCGTCGCCTTTCCCTCAAAGAGAACAAGAGCCCGAGAACCTGAGGGAGAGACAGCGTCATCTCCATCCCATCTCATCTCGGAGCGAGAGGTCGAGACGACGTCTGTCATCTGTCCTTTTTCACCTGCTGCCACTGCTGCTGCTCATGCTCCAGGATATCCGTTCTGGTTCCCACGCTAGTGCTTCCTACAGAACCCACCAATTGGTTTTCTTCTGGTCATGTTTCGCTCAACCATGTCCAATGTCTTGGCGAAAGGCTTGTTGGTGGAACTTGCCCCCTAAACTCGAAAACCCCTTAGTCGCGGATAAGACAGTGGCCGCTGCGTCTAAATCCCTGTCTTTCCCTTTTCCCATGCTTCGCCAAGTCTTTCCCTCATCTAGTGAGCTGCATCGGTGAGCAGGGTTTGAGCCTGCCAATCTCCTGCTTAGGCCCGTCACCTATCCCCATCCATCCTAGAGATATCCCATCCATAGTCCTCATAGCCCTCTCACTACTCATCCCAGGTATCACTGGATAATATTTTCAATTCTATTGGGTTGCGACGTCACATTGAGATATTGCATCAACACCCAAGGTAGGTAGTCTTTGGTGGCCCTTTTGCTCGTCCTCGAATCCCCTCTGGCTTCGTCGACACCATCTCGCTGCCGTCCTCCTCTTCACACATCACGCATCCTCACGGCATCTCTACGAATCACCGCGTCTGGCGGCCCTTTTCCGGACCCTGTTTCCCCACAGAACCCAATCAATATTCTACCGACAAGGCAAAGCTTAAACCTATGCCGTTTGTGCGTGTCTGCGCAGAGCGCCAGTAGAGCCACGCGCCTCCGTCTAGACCTCCCTTTGATGCAACAACGTTGAACGATCGACACGGCAGATAGCTCAGGCTTCGATTGTTTCATCGATCGCGGCCGTCCCTTGAGCCGGGGAGTAGCCACTTCTTTACTACTCCCCGACTTCCTGCGGGCAGTCTTCAGACACTACCCGACTCTTCCGTCTGCAAAGAGCGTTGCACCTCCCTCAAGTCCCCATATCCTCCCTCGAGGACCCTCCAACGAAGGCGGCTCCAACCGCTTTGCAACTCGCGCGCACACAGACACACAAACAGCAGAGCCTAGCAATGGATGATCACGTCGCGAGGCATGCAGTTCCGGAGGAGGCACCAGTAAGGACATTGGGAAATGTCCGTTTGAGGGACGAGGCTACGAACGAAATCATCTTGATCCCCAAACCTTCCACAGACCCAAATGACCCTTTGAACTGGTAGGTTTCCGGGTATTCGGATCGTGAAAACCAGGGGCCTTTGGCTGACCCATCTAGGCCACAATGGTACAAATACTACATGGCGGGGTTGATCTGCGTGGCCATGATGATGTGCAATTTTCTTGCAGCGGGTAAGTCGGCAGACGCAGCCACATACACGAGGCATCATCTCTGATAACTTCGTGATAGGCCCGTCAATAGCTCTTCTGGAGACGGCGCTGGAGTTCTATCCGGCTGCGGCTACAGATAATGCGGTTCTGTCGTACTCAATCTCCCAGACGGCGTACTTCTTCACGACAACCGCGCTCCTTCAGGGGGTCGGCAACTTTTTCTGGGTGCCCATGGCCAACAAGTTTGGCCGGCGCCCAGTCTATGTTGCCAGCTATACGATCTACTTTGTGTGCACGATATGGCTCATCTTTGAACACTCGTACGCGGGCTTCCTCGCCGGGCGGATCTTGATGGGTTTCGGTGCTGGTGCGGCAGAGACCATTGCCCCTATTTCCATCGCTGATGTCTTCTTTCTGCACGAAAGAGGGACCATCATGGCGTGAGTACAGCGTCCGGCTGGTGTTGATCAGTATCCGGCTAACGACCCCAAAGCTTGTATACTTCTTTCCTCTCCGCAGGAGTTGGTTTTGGACTGGTGATTTCAGGGCAAGTTCGCTTCAGAATCTGTAGTGCTTTCGACTTTGTCTGACCAGGCTCTTTTGACAGTCTTATCACCATCAACCATGACTGGAGAGTAATTTACGAGGTTTCTGCCGCCTTGATCGGTGTCGTTCTCGCGCTTGCGTTCTTCACCTTCCCCGAGACGGCCTACGAGCGAGACGAGGCGAGCAACTGGAACCGAATGGCATCCATCGACGCCAACAAGCCTGGTTCGGTGGGCTCAGAGAGCGAACTCGCTCCCCGCTACGCAGAAAACGCTCTTCCACGCTCGAGAAAGAACTCTTACCTGTCGTCCCTGAAAATCTTCCACAAAACCTTGACGCAGGAGAGCCTGCTGAAGCTGTCTCTGCGGCCCCTGGGTCTGATCATCCTCCCGCCCGTGCTGTGGGCGGCACTGGTGCAAGCCGTGACCGTTGGTTTCCTTGTCGCCGTGTCTTCGAATATCGCTTCTGCCTTCAACACCGCCTACGGTTTCGATGCTTGGCAGATCGGGCTGTGTTTCATCGCCGGCATCATTGGGGCCGCGGCCGGTATCCCAGCGGGTGGGCACCTTGGGGACAAGGTGGCCGACTGGTTCACGTTACGCAACGGCGGCATCAGGGATCCGGAAATGCGGCTTCCTGCTATGGTCATCTCCATGGTATCGACACCTCTGGCCCTTATCCTATACGGCGTCGGGATCGCGAACCAGCTGCACTGGATCTGTCCCACCATTGGGTTGGGACTCTGTAAGCTCTCTCCCGCCCCCGCGTATCCTGGTTGCTGCCGTTTTCTGACACCCTCTCTCTTCCCTAGTGACGTTTTCCATTTCCCAGGGCACCAACATCGCAACTGTGTATGTCATTGATGCGTACCGACCTATAACCGGGGAGGTGACGCTGTCGGTAATGGGGTTCAAGTGTGAGTGTGCCGGCATCCCATCCTTGTCCTGTTTCGTCCAATGTTCGTGTGGTAAAAGCTGACTTGTCGGTCTGTTTCGTAGCACTTTTCGGCTTCCTGCTGTCCTTCTACACAAACACATGGATCGAGCAGGCCGGGTACGTGAATGCGTTCGGGGCGATGGCGGGAATCGCGACTGCCGTCCTGATCATGTGGGTGCCGATGTTCGTTTGGGGAAAAGCAATACGACATGAGTCGTGGAAATGGCGGATCGTCTCGTATATCCATTGGAGCGAGGACAGGGAGGTCGGAGAGTGAGTGATTCGAAGAAGTGGTGTGCATAAAGATGTCGAGAGGAGGTAGTTGTTTGTACCAACTGTTTGTAACCACACGCGCGACGCATACGACACAACCACGCATGGCAGGGAAAAGGGAGGGAAACGGCGTTTCGGCACTTGGATGACTGGATATTCCCAAGAAACACAGCGGTTTTGAGCTCTTCTTTAAACTTCGCCGCCTTGCTATTTTACCCTTTTGATAGCCCCCTTCGTTCGTGGCTTTCGGGTTCGGGATGTGGGAGAAAGACCCCTACCCGAGACTACGCAGGCCATATACCTAGGCCGCATAGGTAGGTCAGGGTGGGTGGGGGCCAATCCGAGCGCTTCTCTGCGAGTCTGAGTGCGCGAAGTGCTCGCATCTGCCCCGGTCCAACCTTGGACCCTTGGCGCTAGAACCTGGCCATCATTCCGTATTCATGGTTTCTGGCTTGATTTTTTCTTGCCCTTGGCCTTAACTTGCTCACCCTGCCTGCTACTGCGTCTGTAAGGGGGCCAACAAATTGTTGCTGCTGCTGCCTGGAGATCCATCCCGCGTCCGTGTAACCACTGACCAGCCAGTCACTGACCTGACCTACGAATACAACGTCTGTCCCATCTGCCTGCCCCTCTCCATCATGTCCCATAGTCCCGCGCCCATTCAGAGGCTCAAGCCCCCGTCGATAACCACATTGGCGCCGGTGACGCTCCTGCTCTTGGCGAAGCACAGCACCTGATCCGCGACGTCGTCGACGGTGGGCAGCCTCTTGAGCCTCGTCTTCTCGCGCATCGCCTCGCGCTGCTCCTCAGAGAATTGCAAACCTCAGTCCTGTCATGTCGCCGGCGCGGTAGCGCCAAAAAGTGAGCCGATTTGTCTTTTCGGGAAATGGGCAGAGGGTGGGGGTTACGCGGGCCTAATGGATGGATCTGGTGGTGGTGGTGTCTTTGATGATGGACTTACCGTCAAGAGGAGGCCGGGTGAGACGCTGTTGACCCTTATCCTGGGTCCCGCCGCCATTGCTAGGGCCTTGACGAGGTGAATTTGCGCTGCTTTCGTCACGGCGTAGGCCTGTTTACGTCTTAGAACATTGGCCCTGCCCATTCCATCCATTCTCCGCTCCGCTCTGTGACCACCTTGGGCGGGAAAGACGACCCAGCAGCGGGGGCTTAGGGGAGGAAACGCTCATAACTGACCAACGTACCATTGAGCTCCCGCTGACTTTGACGCCGGCAAGGGACGCCGTGGTGATGAAGGCGCCCTCGGCCTCGTCGAGATGCGGGCGGGCGGCGTGCATCAGGAACAGGTGCGACTTGACGTTCATGTTGAAGCAGCGGTCCCAGTCGTCCTCGTCGACGTTCTCGTCCAGGTCCTGGAGGTTCCTGATGCGGGTCCAGCCGCCGTTGCTGAAGAGCACGTCGAGGCGGCCGCCGAGGGCTGCGACGGCGCCGCGGACGAGCTCGGCCAGGTCGTCCTTGCGCGAGAGGTCCGCCTTGATGGCCGCGAAGCGCTGCTGGTCCGCGGCGAGCGGGGAGGAGGAGCGCAGGTCCCGCACGAGGGATTCCGCGCGCTCGGCGTTGTTGGCGTAGTTCACGACGACGTTGTAGCCGTTCCGGGCGAAGAGCCGGGCGGTGGCGGCGCCGAGGCCTGCGCTGCCGGCCGTGATGAGGGCGGAGGGGATCGGGGCCATGTTCTAGGGGGGGGGGGTTCTGTGGATCCTTGGTTTTTGTTAGTGAGAATTTGTCAAAATGCGAAAAAGCAACGGCGGACGGAGCGGAGTGTAAATGAGTTCGTCCGATCCGGAAATGTGTTGTGGTGAGTGAAGGGGAGAGGAGGGGTGGCCCGGCTTTGGTGGTGTCTCGGAGCGGTATCGGGGCGGGGTAAGCGCGCCGGAGCCGATTGCTTACCGCGACCGAGACGGGAGGGACAGGGGCACGGATCCCGAGGGTTCCACGTACGTTCAGTTCAGCTTGTCATACACGTTTCTGCTTGCCGCACAAGGCATTCGATGGTGCGTCCTCGGGAAAACAGCCCGACAGGCGGCAAGAAAAGCAAGGTGAAGCCTGGCAGCTTGCCACGAGGCCGTTCAAGTGGTATTCGATCTCACGGGATTGAGTTCACTTCATCCCACTACGTCCGGCGGCGTCAAAGACATCCACTCATAACATGCAGGAGATGAAGAGCATCGGCGAAACACGCCGGACGACATGACTGAAGACTTTGGCTTGGCGCTGTAGTTGGGAAAGGAAGAATGGGGGGCTGGAAACTTGAAGTGTCTCTGGTGGTCATTTGTTTGTACTCATGTCAGACAGCACTGACAGCGACAGCAGACACCACACCATACCTTACACACAGCAGAGTGTGGTGGCTCCACCCCCACAAGCCGGTCTTTTGCTCGCTACCCCTCCATCGTCCCTAAAACTCCCCGGAACACTAACAGCCACCAAGAACCGGTGATGGACAAATCAACACCCGCCATGCCACCTTCGACTCGGCAACGTTCAATTTCTAGTGCGGCTGCCGCCTTGCCTCTATTCGCCCTGTGGACCATCCCAGCCGGCATGCCGCTGGGCCGTTATGCATATCAACGTCTAGTTGTGGACGAGGTTTCACAGCAACAGAGGATCATCTACTGCGAAGCAGCAGGACAAAGACGGTAAAGCTCCAAATTGGTCCCTCCCCCGCCGTGCTTCCGGCTTCCCGCCCGGCCAAATGCGGGGGAGAGGCACGCGGGCCAAGGAAAGGGACCAAGCCAGCCCCCGTGGACGAGCTGAGGCATCCCGATGGAACGGTAGATGCACTCGGGGTTGTTCTTTTCTGCTAGACTGCTACTTCGAACGGCTGGTCTTGGCGGGTGTGGTGGCATTTTGCGTTCGATCCGAAGAAGCCTGGAGAGAGAAGTGACAGACGTCGTGGTGGTTGCGCTGGGGGAACAGGGAGGGGCCGAGTACGAGCGCGACGATCGATGCGCAGCCGACCGGGAGCGTTTGAGATGACGGCCTGCAAGCCCGACTAGCCCTGCCTCTCGCCCTGCTCTTCTCTGCACATGTTTCTCATAAGTTGGGTGCCCGGGTGGGTTATAATTGGTCTCTTGGGCGATTATTTCATATGCAGCTTTAATCCCAGCCCTCCCTTCACTCATTCACATTCTTCCAAGGCTTTCCACCCTTCATACTAATCATCCGTGTTTCACATCCCGCAAGACTTCACAAAATCACAATAAGGACCACGTCGACATCATGTTGGTCAACGGTGAGGCCCAGCGCCCAAATGGCGTGTACTCGAGTCCCCTCGTCGGCGATTATCCTCATCCCCTCAAAATTGCCATCGTGGGTGCCGGTATTGGAGGTCTGAGTGCTGCAATCGCACTCCGACGACAGGGTCACCAGGGGGATGTATGGATCTCTTGGTTCCCACGCACCTCGTTTGTGAGCTAATCGCGGGATCCCAGCTGTACGAGCAATCTAGACTGAACAGCGAGACTGGCGCGGCGGTACATCTGGCGCCCAACTCAAACGGACTGCTGAGACGGTGGGGCATCTACGCCGAAACTTTTGGTGGCAACCCGGCGAATCACTTCAAGGAGCGAGACCAGAACAACAAGGGCGGCTTCGACGTGGATATCACCAAGCACAAGGGCCAGTGGCAGCACCCGTGGCAGCTGGTTCACCGTGCCTATCTCCATAACGAGATCCGAAGTGTGGCTACCGCGGAAGACGGCGTTAGCACCCCAGCAAAGGTTCATGTTGCGTCTAAGATAGTTGGCGCCGACCCGGAGAAGGGCACTCTTCAGCTGGAGGATGGAACGACGATCCAGGCGGATGTCATTATCGGCGCTGACGGTATCTATGTAAGTTTTAATGGGCCATCATTTTGGGGCAATAAGCTGAGATCGTGTTCAGTCCAAGACGAGGAAATACGTAACGGGCACCGACCCGAAGCTGTTCCGCTCAGGCAAGGCGGCTTTCCGTTTCCTCATTCCCCGGGCCATCGTCGAGGAGGACCCCGTCACCGCTCCTCTCATCGACAAGCACAACCAGCTCGGTATCTGGTTTGGGACAGACAGACGCATCGTCATCTACCCCTGCAACGACAACCAGCTGTTGAACTTTGTGTGCATCCACCCTGACACCGAGTCTCACGCAACAGCTAGCGACGGTATGCCCTGGACGTCACATTTGTCTTTAAGTACTAACACGCTCCAGAGTGGAACAAGAAGGGCTCAATCGAGCAACTTCTAAAGGTCTACCAAGACTTTGACCCGGCTCTTTTGCAATTGATCAAGAAGGTGCACCCCGATGAAGTGAATGTCTGGCAGCTGCTAGACATGGACCCTATGGAGTCGTGGACAAACGGCAAGCTTGCTTTGCTGGGAGATGCCGCCCACCCCTTCACGCCTCGTACGTTGAAATCTTGGACAACATGTACGATATGCTAACAGCCAGACAGACCAAGGTCAGGGAGCAGGCCAGGCCATGGAAGACGGCGCCGCGCTGGCGGTCGTGCTTCCCAAGGGAACTTCTCCTGAGGACGTACCGGAACGACTCAGCCTCTACCAACAAATTCGCTTGACCCGCGCACATGCTATTCAGGAGTACTCCCGTCAAGCCGGCAAAGACAGAATTCCAGGTGCTCCACCGGCTGTCGAGAGTAAGTTGATCTTCAAGACGACGTATCCCACCATGCGCTCACAAAGCTCCAGTGAACACCTACCAAAACTACAACTTTGGCCACGACGAACACGACCACGCAACAAAGGTCTACAATCGATGGCTGTGGTCGAGGAAGAAGGACCTCTACTGGCGCATGCCCGTCGGTTACGGCCCTTTCCCGGGTCCTCGCCAAGACGCTTTCGGTCGCCGACAGCCCGGTGACATTGAGCGCACATTCACCACGATGTCCGTCAAGTTCCTCACCTCACGAACCTTCCTCGAGACCATCCTCCCCACCGACTCCTTCCGCTTCAAAGCCCCGGGCACCGTCTGCGCCGCCTCTCTATCGGTCACCAGGCTGAACAACATGTCCTGGCTCGGCGGCGGCGGATACAACCACCTGGGCCTCTACATCCACGGCATCGAGTACGTCAAGAAGGACGGCAGCACGATCAACGGCACCCACCTGTCCGTGCTGTTCGAGAGCCTCACAGACCCCATCGTCTCCGGCCGCGAGGAGCTGGGCATGCCGAAGCTGTTCTGCGACATCGACTTTGAGCTGCACGCAACGGCGGCCCGGGTGAAGGCCTCGTGGCGCGGCGCCACGTTCGCCGACATCAGGCTCAACAAGCTGCGCGCGGACGACCCGAAGACGGAGCACGGCACCATTGGCGGCGAGGCGGACTACGGTATCCTAACGTACCGATACATTCCCTCCGTCGGGGAACCTGGAAAGGCCGATGCCGAGTATGCGTGTGTGGTCCCGCACGAGGAGGAGGCGCGGGACGTACCCGCCACGGTACACGCCGTTTCGCGGTCGTCCGACGTCTCCGTCAAGATGGACGCGCATGACTGGGAGAAGCTTCCCACGCTGCACCACATTACGAAGTTCCTGTCCGAGATGCCCATCTACGACTTTGTGAGCGCCAAGGTGGTGGAGGGCACCGGCGTGCCCAACGTTTCCGGTGCGAGGAGGATAGAGTAAAGCATTGGTGGTGATTTTACGATGTTGGCATGCCTGTGGGAGGCGCTGTACATAGCTGATTGTGGCATTCGAGCTGCGAAAATCACATCCTGTCGAATACCCTACTCTGTATACTTAGTTGATTACAAACAATTACAACGTTCGCACTTTTGAGATAACCTAGTATGTATCGTTGTCGTTATCATTATTACTATCGTCGTCGTCGTCGTCGTCGTTGTCGTTATCATCGCTACTATTCTCATTATCGCTAGTATCGTCGTCGCGGCTGCCATCGTTGTTGCTGCCATCGTCGTCGTCGCTATTGTCATCAATTCTACTACATTTTATCACATTTTTGACCAAAATACATCCCCGAGACCGATCACGAACGTCACCTCGGGACTTATATTCCTGATTTGGAGTTCGTTTCAAACATGAAGAACACAGAAGCTTGTGTGTAGTAAGTCTTGTCGAAAGCGACATGTCGACTCAGCTGTTCGTCACACATCATGCGTTGTCCGTCAAGAGTCCGAAGTCAAAGACCGCCACTCACGACCCACACAAGCTACATACGAAACCAGACCCATTGAAAGGGCAAAGGAACAAAAAGACACCTTTCCCCAGTTTCAATATCCATTTGCCGGGATTTTAGGATACAGTTTCCATACCTAGCGTCCGCCGCCTTCCCATCCCCGCACAAACCACTCTTCGTCCCCTTTCCCCACCCCATCCACCTCTCATCCCGTATCAGTGTCAGCGACATTCCCCCTCTTTCCGGTCCCGCCTCCACTTTCCGCCGTGACGGTCGGCGCCTGCATCACTCGCTCCTCGGGATGCTCTCGGCAGTGCCTCAATGGTGTCGCGGTAGCGGGGAAAAGAGCTACACACACCGGTTGTATCAGACGGGAAAGCTGATTATTAAGTTTGAAGCTGGATTTAGGGGAGTAGAAGAATGCCGCCTCTCTGTCAAGCTCGCATCTGATTAGCCTGGTCCCTTCGTCTCAATTGTGCCTGTGTCGTCATAAACCCTCCGCTCCCTAAAACATAATCGAAGCTTCTGAGAACTGAATAAACAGC